ATGAATTTTGCCAGGAATCTAAAGAACTCAACCACCTGATGAGCTCTGATGTGCTGGCCACGCCCTGTGAGCAGTGTGACCACATCTCACTGCGTGACATCTCCCCCGTGCTGAGCCACTCACAGGTACAGCCCGTGTACCTCGCCGTCTACAGCGTGGCTTCTGCACTGCACAGGGCCCTGGGGTGCACCCACCAAGCCTGTCCCAAAGCACCCATCAGAGCTTGGCAGGTGAGTAGAGTTTGGGGGGACAAACAGCAATTTTTCAACCCCCCCCCCGGGCATCAGAGCTGCTCGCAGCCAGCCAGGGAGGGAGCCTGGCACAGCACTGCTGCCCCTGCCCGGGCAGCTCCCTCAGCACCCCCCAGGGCTGCATTGCCCCCTCTGGGGCTAACTGGGCTTGGCACAAGAGACAGAGCAGTTGAGAATGCAGCCAAAGGGCTGATAAGTCACAAATCTCAGCCCATGTAAGGGACAACTGATCTCAGCCAGAAATGAGCTTCCTGCATTATCACCCCCTAGCAAGAACATGGGCTGGACCAGGATTTATTGTCAATTTTCATTTTCTCCTCAGCTGCTGCACTTCATGAACACCCTCCCGTTCAAGGTGAACGGCCAAAGCTTCAGGTTTGATCAGTCCCATGGCACAAACACTGGCTACAAGCTTATCTTCTGGTCCTGGAAAAACAGCACCCTCACCTATCTGCCTGTAGGGGACTATGAAGAGTCCCTGCACATCAACAAGTCCCAGATTCGGTTTCACACTGCAGATGAAAAGGTAAAGACTGGGCAAAAGCATCAGTTATCACAAAATGAAGTGAATTTCTTTGCTCTGCCCTCAAAAGCTCTTAGCCTGCATGCTCCCCCTGCAAGATTCATGTGGGACCCAGTCCTTGCAAACCCATAACCCATCCCCACTGTGCAAATGCAGAAGGTATTCCCAGCACCCTGTAAGATTCAGACACTTTGATCCCAGCATGGCAAATCCCCTCTAGTGAGTTTGGTGATATGGTGCCTCTCCTGCAAGTGTCTGTCTGACAGTCATTCCTCCTCCTGTCTAGGAGCCTCCATCAGAGTGCTTCAGGCACTGTAAACCAGGACAATTCAGACAAATAAAAGGATTTCACCTCTGCTGCTATGACTGTACAGATTGCCCAGAAAACACCTTCTGGAGCCCTGAAGGTGAGGTTTGAGAAATTCAGTGGCTTTAACTGTCTGTATTATGTCTATCTACTGGTTGAGGACACACAGGTTCACAGAACTGGTACTGACCAGCTGTGAGCTCCTCTTGCATGAAGCACTGCCAGTGAAGCATATTTGCTTCCCTTTTGTCCTGCTGTCCTTCCCCCAGTCTCACTCTACAGATCTTCCATGGGGGACCTTCCTCTGTTGATCCAAAAGAATGCATAAGGACAGTGCATATGTTTTATCTCAAGAGGTAGGAGAGAAGGGTATGAGGAAATTGTGGGGTCACAGGCAGAAGAGGTACATGATGAAATTCTGAGATGTTCTGGAAGCTGGTGATGCTTCCTGGGCAAAGGAAACAAAGCCAAGAAATATCTGGATCCTTTTGGAGGGAGGGTGGAGAAACAGAGATTAACTCTCACAAGCTTTGGAGAGCCACTTAGGGGGTGGCTGGGGACGCAGGCAAAGCAGCACTCGAACCAGCTGCCCAATTCATGACCCTGGCCTTCCTCCAGGCCTGCCTGCAGCAGGGGAGCAGCACCCCCACTGCAAGGTGCTGACCAGCTCCTCTGTGCCCCTCTGCAGACAGCTCCACCTGCACGCCCTGCCCGCAGCACCAGTGGTCCCCCGCCCGCAGCACACGGTGCCACGGCCGCAGCGAGAGGTACCTGTCCTGGGACGAGCCCCTCACTGCTGCCCTGCTGGCCCTGGTGGCCACCACCGTGGCCCTGGCCTGTCTGACAGCAGGGCTCTTCTCAAAGAGCCTCGAGACCCCCCTCGTGCAGGCTGCCGGGGGCAAGCTGACCCTCTTTGCCTTGTCCACCCTCGTGCTGCTGTCCCTCAGCTGCTGCCTCTACATAGGGAAGCCCAGCGAGCACCTCTGTAGGATCCAGCAGATGGTCTCTGCCCTCTGCCTCAACGGTTGCTTCTCCACCTTCTTCATCAAGTCCCTGGAGATCACCCTTGTGACGGAGTTCCCTCGCTGTGCCCCCACCTTCCTGCCCTGGGTGACCCAGAGGAGGGCCTGGCTCCTCGTTGCCCTGTGCCTCCTCACCGAGGGCTTGTTCTGCCTCTGCTACCTCCGTGTGGGCCCCGACTCTCTGCTGGTTGACCACAGGTCTCTGCCCACAGAAGTTCTGCTGGTGTGCAGCACAGAGTCATGGTTTGCCTTCACCCTGCTCCACGGCTCCAACGCCTGCCTGGCCCTCGTCTGCTTCCTCTGCACCTTCATGGTCCAGACCTCTGGGAGGAAGTACAACATTGCCAGGGGCATCACGCTTGCCATCCTCACCTACTTCATCATCTGCATCTTCTTCCTTGCTGTTTTTGCCACGCTGAAGACAGTCCTCAGGTCCGTTGCTCAGATTGGTACCATTCTGGCAACCAGCCTGGGGATCTTGGGGATCTACTATATCCCCAAATGCTACATCATCTTGCTGAAGCCTGAGCTGAACACGGTGGATTATTTCCAGTATTCCATCAAAGAGGAGCCAGAGGAGGACTCAAACAGAGAATAAACCAGATCCATCTCACCTGCTCCTCAGGAGAAGCTAGCTGTACTTCAGAGATAATTTTAGTCCCAGACCCATTTCAAATCTGGCAAGCCTCACCTAGACCACCTCCTGCTAAAGGGCACTGCTCATTTCCACTTCTGATTAACCAGGTAACTCCAGATACATCCATGAATCCAGTTGGGACATTATGGTTGTGAAACAAAATGCTGAACTTTCAAAGTCAATATTTAAATTTCTGTTAAGTGACATTTTCTATAGAAAAAATACCTTTTTTCATTTTCTTGACTATCACAAAATCTATAGAAACCACTCTGAATAAAGGCAGCTGAATGCATATAAACTGTGTATCACCCATTCAAATCTCTACTCATTTGTGTTTCATTAACATGAGTTTGCAAAGAACACGGAACCAAGGACAAGACACAGGGAAATGAACAGTGTGCAAATCACACCACCCAAAATCATAGCAAGAAGTTCCTCTCACCTCAAAAAAAAACCCCATGCAAAGATCACCAGAGAGAAACATTTCTTACCCAGTAGAACATTCTGGAAAGGGGACAAATAAGCACTTTGAGGAATAAGAAATATCTCTACCCTGTACTCATACATGTGACGTGGCCCCTGTGTTCTGTGGCCAGCAGAATTCTCAGATCTTAATGAACCTACACAAGTTACTGAGCAAATGATCCTCAAAAGTGAAGTGTGGAGTTTCAATGGAGCATATGGGTCTAAACCTCTGAACTCAGCTCAGTTCAAGAATTTGCAAATTGATCTAAATTAGGGAATATTTTCATTCTTAAAAAAAAAAACAAAACAAAACACCCACAAGCTTTTTGATGCACTGCAAAACTGGCTGGCTGAGATTTCTGTGGCTACCTGCATATAACATCTTCCTGGTGTACTTAAGGACAAATGTGAAACTTTAGACAAAAATACCCCTCATTGTGATTAAGATAGCCAAAATCTGACCTGGAAGTCCTTGTTTCTGGAGCCTGTAGCAACTCTTCAGGAGCATATTGCTGCACCTGAGAATCTCCTCACTTCAGTGCTGTGATTCCATGGCAGAGAAGCTTTAAGCAACTTCTGACCATCATGCCAGAAACAGAGAAGAAAAAAAAATCAAATTTACCTCTAGTGCCTCTCTTTCTGGCAGCAGAGCTAGGGCCACAATAGGCTGGCTTTTTTGTTCCTTTAGGGGGAGAGGGTGGGGTGGGAGAAGAGGCAGGAAGGGAGAAGCAGCTGATTAAATTGTTTAAGCAGTCACTCACCTGCAGCCAATCCATACCATAGCTGAGTCCACAGGGCCCAGCTGCAACAGGCTGCAAGAGCACATCCAAAATTCTGATCACTGACTGTTCACCTAACTGGGAAAATGCTGGCCAGGGCATTCTGCATCCTGTGCAAACAAACATGGCTTGAAGGGGAGAATATGGGGAAACTCTGCAAGACTTTCTCACAGGCTCTGACATGAATCTGCTGCAGAACTGTGCTGTTTGGAATGGGTGCTTCCACAACAACTACTGCTTTGTCTCTCCCTTTGCTGCCTGATCTCTGCCAGCTAGGAGAGGGAACCTGCCAGGGATTCACAGCTCTGGCTGCCCCCTGTTCCCAGGCCTTACAGGGAGGCTGGGTGTCCTTACACTGCACGACAAACACACCATCGTTTGAGGCTTACCAGTAGTCAGCAAAGTGGCATCCTACTGCTCCTAGCTTGTCTCTGCTGGAGCTTGTGTGCTGAATCCAGAAAAAGGGAATATTCACATGAAACAGCTGGATACATTGATGGGTTCTACCAACAGATTCATCTCCTGGGTCTGCAGGCAGGGAAACTTGTTCCAGCTCATGTCTTGGTAACAGCATGTCTCCTCCAGACGCCTTTCACTTCCAGAAACCTTCTTCAGCCTTTCCTGTCTGCCTACTCCTGCCAGGCTGTGAGAGGGAGAAGCTCCATAATGCAGAGGTAGGGCAGTTTGAGGGGAAAGCTCAACTCCTGCACCAATGTTAGTCATTAGCTCAAAGCTACAGCACTTCTGATGAGCAGCAGGGTCTTGTGTTCCCAGCCAGATGTCATGACCCTGCACGGAGACCTGAGAACCAATTTAGCAGGGAACATACACAGGGTTCCTGCCAGACCTGGAGCTGTAAGCACAGCTGAAATACCCTCAAACCACAAACTCCCAGCTGCCTACCACCAGCTCCTGAACAATCTGCTGTTCAGAGGCCAAAGATTCAGTGTGGCAGGGGTAAAAAGAGAGCAAGATTCAACTGATATTTCATCATTCTTGAACCAAAGGTAACGCAGTAGTGCAAAGAACTGAAGACATACACTGTGGTTATCACATAAAATTAAAAGCTTTTTAGTGTTTAAAATAGCATTTACACATAAGCAGCTATATATTAACTATACAGACACTTGGGTTTTAATACAATATCTACAAAAAAGAATTCAATTATGCAATAGACATTTAACAGGAACAGTGCAGTCCATGCTAGTAAGAGGTCACTCTTTGAGTAGAACCAATTCTAGAATAGGTGATAGTCTGGGTTTTCATTATTTAAAATCATGTAACTTTGTTCCTCTACTGTACATAAAATTCTTTACATGTATTTCTAATCACTGATTAGAATTAATAATTTTAAGTCAATCTTATTACAATCCAGTTAAATGCAGAACAAAAACAATTACATCAACTCGTGAGCTGTCCAGTCTCAAGATGGGACTGCCCATTTGAACAGAACAAAAATAATATCAAAAGTCAATGTCTGTGCATCATTGCTTGCCATCCAATAGACCTTTGGATAAAGTGTCCAGGGGACTGTTACCTTTGACAAGTAGATTTATTAACAGGAGGTAAAAGACAATAGCAGTGCTTTTAAGACTATTTGCCAAAAACCTTACTCAGTGTCAACACCCTGGGTGGGTACACGACCCCTACAGACACTGCCTCCTTTGGAGAGGGGATGGCATCCCAAACTGTTTCCTCATCATTTTCTATGATCTTCCAAACATCCCTGTCAGTCCTTGTTAAAAGCTGTTGGCAGGTGTGTATAAACATTGAGCTCAGCTGCAGAGCACAGGCAGAGGTTGAGGATCTCACTTCCAGGATACAAATGTCAACCATTTAAGGCTCCCGTGAGGAGGTGGTTTCAAACCCAGAACTTCTTGTTGTATTTAGAGACACAGGGCACACCATGCGAGAGCCCAGCCAGGGCCAGTTACTTGATGTTAAGATCAGAGGAACAATTCAGGCCCTGGTGAGAGGAACAAACAGTTCTGCAGGACTCCAGCCTTCAAACTTCCTTTCACCTGGCACGGTGCTTCCTCCTGTAAGTCACTTCACGGCATGGGTGGCACTCTGTTCTGCAGGCAGCACTGCACCCAACAGGAGAAACCTGCACAGCTGGGCCCTGAGGCCCCTGGTTGCAAAGACACATGCACATGCATTGAAAGCCAAGGATGGGATCTGGGAAATCTCCTGTCTTCATTCGCTTGTGAAAATCAAGAGCTAGCCATGTTTCAGGCCTAACTTTGCACTCACTCCGACCACTGTACACGACAAGGCAGGGCAGTGAAGCTTTTGTCTGGCACAGTGGCCATCAGGTATTGCACTGTTCACAGGAGGGTCAGTTACATTCTCCAGCTCCTCCTTGTAACTCGTGAGGTCCACACTCTACAGCATGAACCACCCAGCACGTCCGGCAGCGCCCCCGAGCACTCGGCGCTGGCCTGACGTGGGGGCCTGTTTGTGGGTGAGCTCAGGCTGGACTCAGCACCCCCATTTTCCTCAGCAGACTTTCCCACACCTCTCTTCTGGACCCCTCAGCCTCATTCCAGAGTTACCCACAAACACGCAAGTATATAACACAGTCATTTAACATAGCAGCAAAGACCAGCAAGACACAGAACAGTTTCTGCCAACAGCGTAACGACAAAAGACAAAAAAAACCCCAGCAGGTGTGTAAACTGCAACTCTTGAAAAGACATCAGGAAATTCAACACGTTTCTTTCCGTGGGTGAAAGCTCAGCTCCCAGCTTTAATCCCTTTTGGAAATATCTTATTCAAGTGATAAGTCTCTTCCTCCAGCCCTGTAAGTTCTGCCTTAAGACAAAGCAGGCCAGAAAAATTCTAATATACAAGAGACCAGAAAAGTTTAAATTACTTCAAAAGTAGAACCACTAGTGATTGTCAGTAAAGTCACAGACTCCTTAACAGTGTCTCCTGGAGACAGGGAGTTACAGAATTATTTTACCCTGATTCGTTTCATTGCTTTACATGTCAATCTTTCAAAAGAGTTTACTGAGTTCAGTTAGCATCTTTGCTGAGTTACTGGGAGGAGAGGAAAAGGAAGGAGACTGTTGCACAGTCAAGCTTTAGGTAGTGCTGTTCTTCTGAATAAGCCATCCCCAGCTTCACACTCTGTGCTACTCCACCAGATGGATGATGATGAAAGCACTGCTTTCAGAAATGGCAGGTAGCTTTTGGGGAGATTTCTGCACAGCAAACTGTCCAAAGCCACTCAGGTAGTTTAGAACCCCAGTAACTGGAGAGTTTAGCCTGAGTGACACACTGATTCCTAAATGCCTAGCTCCCTTCTGAAAGTGAGACTTGGGCCTCCAATTAACACAGACATTTGAAAAGGTTACTCTGACTTTTGTAAAAGGGATCTGTATACACCCAGACCTGTAACAAGAAAAGGAGTGAAAAATCTCTCAGAATTAACAACGTACAAAATGGACAGCTTCAAGAGTGATTTTCCTGGGTGACAAGGGAATGTGAAACTCCACGTCCATAGTGAGAAAGACGTGTGCTCCTCTGACATTCCTGTTGGATGTTCACACTACCATAGAGCATGGAACACAACAAAAAAGAAGCTTCTTACCACTGAAGAAAACGCTTATATACAGTAAAGACTGATTTTAAAGCACCTGTTCTAAAACCTGCCAGAAGCAGGCATCTCACAAAAGAGGATTTAACCAAGGCATGGCCCCATGGTCAAATGCC